GATCAAGTTGAGCTGCGTAGGGCCCTGTGTCTGCCCTTGCACCCCAGCCATGTGCCCGTGCACAGGACAGAGGACAGAGGACAGAGGGAGCGGCCGGGCTGGAAAAGGTGACTCTGTGTGCGGGCCCCTGGGAGGCCACGCTTCATCTCCTTGGTTCCCGGCTTGCTGACGGTGCGGCCCCAGGAGACCAGGTCTGACTGAGGACCGCAGAGCACCTGCTATCTGAGCTGCAGAGAAAAAGCTCTTGCCAGAGTCAGCAGGGGCCTGTGCTCCCCCAGCTCGGTGTTCACCGCCGTGACCTAGACGCAGAAGTGATGATTGTACACCTGCGGGACGTGGATGTTGAAATCATTATCCAAAACTGTAAACCGCATGATCAAGAAGCAAAGGGTCAAGCGTGTAAAATGGGGACATGGAAGACAGGACCCAGACTCAGATTGAGTTTCTAGAGTGAAAAACACGTGTCTGAGGTGAAAAGTGCCCTGGGTGGGATTAGCCAGAGCATGGGAGTTGCAGTGCGGAAGATTTTAAACTTCAGGACGGAAACAGAACCTGTCAAAATGAGACACAGAGGCAGAAGGCAGAAGAAAGTGACGGGAGCATCAGTGAGCTCCCTCAACTTCAGGCAGAGAACAGACATGCCTTTGGGGGCCCTGGGGGTGGGGGAGGGGCAAGGCAGAAAGTGTATTCGAAAGACAATGGCCACAATTTTCCAAACTCAGTGAAAACTCTTAAGGCCACAAATCCAAGAAGCTCAATGAGCACAAAGAGTCATGAGGAAACTGCAGCAAGGCACAGGCTAAGTAAGTTGTTCAAAGCCAGTGATTAAGAGAAAATTCTTACATGTGCTGTGGAAAAGGTGTCCTTACAGATGGTGAAATGAAGTGAGAACGAATGCAGCGGGAGGGGTCGGGGCAGCAGCAGGGGTCAGGGGACATCAGCGCGGGCGAGGGGTCAGGGGGCAGCAGGGGTGAGGGGTCGGGGGCAGCAGCGCAGGTGAGAGGTCTGGGGCAGGTCTCTCCGGGACCCGAAGAGCGCACTGCTGACCTGGAGTTCTGTGCCAGGTGAGACCCGTTCGTTGCTGAAGGGGAAACAGACCTTTCCGACCCACGGAAACAGAGCTCCATCGCCAGCGAACTTGCACTACAAAAATTATTTTGGGGAGTTCTTCAGGTAGAAGAAGAGCGAGAGCAGGCAGAAAGCTGCCTGCACGCGGCGGGCTGAGCGTCACGTGGGTAAGCAGAAAGACATGTTTCTTGTCATCTACGTCCCTCTAGAAGATAACGGACTGTTCACGTCCGAAATAAGAACGCTGGTTTATAACCCAGGAGAACCAAAGTGCGCCACAGCAACAGGGCGGAGGCCAAGAGGGGAAACAGTGGCACAGCTAGCACCCATGTCAGGTGCTCCCACACTGCCCTAAGTGGCAGGTCACTGACACTGTACTGTGACAAGCTGAAGGTGTGTGCAGGGCAACCCTCAGGTAACAAAACAGAGGGTCGTAACTAGTAAGTGCACAAAGGAGGGAAAGTGGAATCATAAAAGGTATGCAGTTCATTCAAAAGATGGTGGAGGAGAAAGTGATAGAAACGGGAACGAAGAAGAGATCATAAAGCAGAAGACAAGCAGTAGAACGATAGCTCCAGACTCCACCATGTCACTGTCAGTGGTCGAAACACCCCAATTAAAAGACAGAGATTGTCAAATGAGATAAAAAGGCAAGGTTCAACCACACGCTGCCTACAGGAAACTCACTTTAAATATAAAGACCACAGATGGGTTCAAGATAAAAGATGGAAGGAGGTACACCAACACCAATCAGAAGAAAGCGGGGTCACTACATGAATAACAGACAAAGAAATTTCAGAGCTGAGAACGAAGCCAGACATGAGGAATGCCTCACGATGGCAAAGGAGTCCGTCGGTCCATCAGCTGGAGGCAACGATGTGGTGGTACGATGCTGCTGACAGAGCTTGAAGTGCAGGAAGCAGGGCCCTCCCCGGCGCCCCCGGGACCCGACGAGACCGCAGAGGACTGGCAGTGGTACCATCCAGGCTTTGAGAAGGTTCCACCCCAACACGGGAGCCCACCTTTACCAGGACAGACCACAGTCTGGCCCACAAGCAAGTCTCAGGACATAGGACGTACCTGAGGTGTCACAAGCCACGTTTTCTAACCATCAGAGAATCAACAGGAGAAAGACATCTAGAAAATCTAAGTATTTGAAAATTTAATAACATACTTCACAATACCCCATGAATCAAAAAAGAAATCAAAGAGAAATTTGATAGTATTTTGAAATAATCAAAAAGAGCACAAATATCAAAATTAGTGGGATACCGCTAAATCCACATGTTGAGAAGGATTTTATAGAACAAAACACCTTTATTAGGCAAGAAGTAAGAAACTAGAGAAAATGAATTAATTAACTCTGCATCTGTGTGTTGGGATTTGCTAATGAAGGCGAATTACTTCATTGCTAAGGAAGGAGCTATTGCACCCCCAGGTTTGGGCCTGTAGCCGGAAGGCAGGACTGCAGAGACGGATGGATGGACAACTGGGAAGGCTGGCTGTGGGAATCGGGCACAGGCTGCGTTCCAGCCGAGGCACATCTGTGGACGGTGTTGGCACGGGGCCACACGGGCGGGCCTCCTCCCGGGCCCTGCAGGGGACCGTGCCTGTGTCTCCTCTTCCTCCCACTGGGTGAATTACAAATATATTCAGTTCCCAGCACTGCAGAGAACAGAAGGTGGGTCCTTACTGGCGAAGAGATTTTTTGGTTTTGGGTGAGTGTGGACTCTCCTGCAGGGGTGGCTGCAGGTGGGAGCAGGCCTGGCATCCTCGGGCCCGCCCCCGATGAACAGCTGTCCAGGGCCCAGCAGGACCGATAGAGGATGACCCGAGGTCGTGATCCTGGCGGAGCCACCGCCCGGTGCCCCTTGGCGGCTGGCATAGGTGGGTTCTTCAAGGTCAAGGGCGCTGAGTCTAGGTGACCTTCACCACCACCCAGGGCCGCTCCTTGTCCCCAGCAGTCTACAGAGGGCACCGTGCTGCTCGCCCTCAGCCTCGTGATGACGGCGGGCAGCAGCCTCCGTGGCAGCTCGCTGGCCTGTGTGACTGATGGCAGTCGACAGCCTGGACCCTGAAGCTCCCCGGCACTCACTGACCCACTTTCTCCGCTGTGGCTGGAAACATTTACGTAACCACGGCTGCAGGGCCCTGCCGCCCCACACAGGAGGAGATGTTTCTAATTAAACAGGAGGCCTGGCATCCCGCATGCCCAGCGCCCGATCCGCTCCACTGGTGCTGGTACCCCTGCTTGCTGCAGGGTGTCTGTGTGGGAGGGAGCGTCGTGAACTTGGCCGCACCAATCCCTTGAGCTGGAACGTCTCCTCTCCTGCCCGGGGTCTCTGTCCAGAGCGCCCTCTTTCAGCCAGACCTGCTGCCATGTCCACGCGCCCCGTGCTGTCCGGTAGGACCACCGTGCCCGAGACCAGCGCTCTCTGTTGTGCCCTTCCCCGCGCAGCCACCAGCCACATGGGGCTGCTTGGTCAACTCTGAGTGCGGCCGACGAGTTTCTTATTTCAAATACAAATAGCCACAAGTGGCCAGTGGCTCCGTGTTGGGCAGTGGAGATAGACCACATTAATTTGTAGGGGTGGTTTTTAAAACTTGCCTTTGCCAGGTCTTAGGTCTTCATGTCAGAGTCCTTGTTCAAAAGCATCGTTGTCTAATCCATAACGAGGACTAATAGTTTGAGTTGTTACGGCACGAGTGGATACGTTGTCATGTGCGCGTCTGTTAACGCAGAAATGTGTCTTCCTCTGTCATCTGTGACGCGTCCACCACCACCAGCAGACAGAATGTGCTGTTCTGTGCTTTATTTTGTATTTTCCTTTTCAGCAGAAACCAAAACCTACAAGGTTAAAGGAAAATCTTGCTTTTCTAACTTGTGGTCTCTCCTGTGTGTGGACGGAGCCTCCCATCCTTACAGGTCACATCAAAGGGCTGGTGTCCAGACCCCCAGATGGGGGGCATGCCCAGGTTTCACTGTTCCTGAGGGACCTAGACCAAGCATGGGGTCGTATGTGGGGAGTGCTGGCAGAGTTGGCCCCAGGCCTCATCCTTCCTTCATGGCCCAGGCACCCCACCCACCTCTCAGGTGTGCCCCCGGGCAGGTCTGTGCAGCTGCAGGAGGCCTGTGGCACTCTCTGTTCCGTGGGGTCCACCTGGTGCCGCTCCTGGGAACCCCTGGCCCTGGGTCATCCAGAATCTCCCCCAGGCAGGCCTCCTTCCCTCCCTGTGCCCCCGGCAGCACCCTGCTGTCAGACCCTGTGACCACTGCCCCACGGCCTACCCACCCCCTCCAGGACTGGCCACTCCCCGCTCCCCTGGGGGTCACTCATGCCCCGTGTCCCATCCTGCCCTCGTTCCCCTCCTCTCTGACCCTTGTGGACCCTGGCACCCAGCAACTTCCCTGCACTGTGAGACATCCCCACGCACCCAGGCAGGTGGCTCTCCAGCTCCCATTTGCTGCCCTGACTGCTGGCCCTCCCAGGAAGGCTACCCAAACAGCCCACCCCCTGTGACCTGTGTTGCCTGCTGAGTGAAGCATCCCTTCCCAGGCCTGCAGTCAGGTCTGGTGTGCCCTTGGGGCCCCCCGCATCTGGGCCTGGGCTTGCCTGAGTATCTGGTTCTGCAGACCTCTCCCGTTTATTCTGGAACCTCTCCTGGTCCTACCCTCTCCCCTTGCTGTGCCCTGAGCCCTGGCCCCACCTGACCTTCACTTCTAATCCTCACTGGTGCCTGTCTCGGAGGCCACCCTGTACACTGTGGTGGGCTGACCTGTCCCTCGGGATCCAGCCTGGAGGAGAACCTGGACCCTCCCCACGCCCACGCACCCCCCAGAGGCCAAAGGTCCTAGCAGGCCGGGACACCCCGACCTGTGTTGGCCATTGACCGTGTTCTCAGCTGGCAGCCGCTATGCCTTCCCTTTCCAGGTGACGCCATCTGGGCCCCATCTGTCCTTCCTCACGGCACCCTCGGCACCTTAAGCCACTACTCCCAGCCGCATTTTGGGAGAAAGATGGAGTCGAAGGTCTCAGAAGGTGGCCTGAACGTGACCCTGACAATCCGTCTGCTGATGCATGGAAAGGTACGGAGCCCAAGGCCACTGTGTCAGACCAGCTGGGAGGGAAGGGAGGGCGTGCCCACCGCCGGGGTCTGCTTTGTAAACCCTGAGCCGTCTCAGGCTGACTAAGCATTGCAGCCCACTCCAAATTACATTTCTCCTGGAACCCTTGGAGACTCATTGCAACCCGATGCCCGTCACTGAACACCTTAGTGTGTATTTCCTACAAACGAGGGCGCAGTGCCCCATCCACGTCAGGATACCAACACCAGTACGTCCCAGCCCCTCGCCTCGGGCCCTGTTCAGGTCACCAGTCGTCCCAGCCTGCCCTTCACCACAGGGCACGCGGTGAAGGGGGAGTGGTCAGGACTCCATATCCCAGAGCGTCTCTGGTGGTCTCCAACCTGGAGGAGTCTCCCTGCTCTTCCTTTGCATTTCACCTCTGAAAGTGCCTGCCCTTCCTCAAGGCGGCTTTTCTGAGGTTTCCTCACTGTTGGTGGGAGTCACAGGAACTCTCCCATCAGGGGCGCAGATCTCAGGGCCTCCGTTACTGAGCCCTTGGTCCTTCACCCAGAGCTGCTGTTAGATGCTGCTCGGGGCCCACGGACACTGCGAGAACCCCTCAGCGGCCATTCATCCGCTCATTCATGCACGTCTGCATGGACTCAGTTGCTGTCATGACTCATTTTGATGCTCGTATTGACCCTGACTCAGCCACCGGGAGCCCCTCCAAGCTGGCTCCTGTGTCCTCATGACGTGGGCTGTCATTCACCCAGTGCCAGCTCGCTTTCTGGCACAAAACACTCTCATGATGCCCTTGTGCTTTCCCTGCCATGGTCCTGGAGTCAGCCATTTCTCCAAAGAGCCCCGACTCTTGTGAGTGGGGGATATCTACACGTATGTGTTTATTGAACATGCGTGTGTATGTACGATCACAGTGTGTGTATACACACATATGCATAAAATTTATTTCCATGTTTATAGACTGGACCCCGTGAGTTCCTATCCCCCAACTCCAGCCCAACAGCACAGGGTTCGCACCTCCATCGGGCTGTGTCTGGTGTCCTTGTGGTCTCCTTGCCGCGGGGCCGGTGGTGCTGCTCCTCCCAGATCGCCAGGCGAGGCGCCCTCCCTGGGGGGGCGGGGGGGTCAGGGCTCACCCCCAGAGATCCCTTTTTGCAATGGAGAGACGGCGACTAGCTTTGCGCCTCCCACGTGTGGGTGGCATTTGCTCAAGGTTGTCAGAAGCTGGGAGTGCACCACAGAGGGCCCCCACGTCCAGGGGCCGCGGCAGCCTCAGGCACCAACTCCGCCCCAGGAGGAGCGGCGCCGCGGCCGCCGGAGGGCTCAGCTGCCCTTTGCTGCCTCAGCCGCCCCTGCGGCACGCACCCTCCCACGGCCCAGCAGGATTTCGGGCCTTCACCGGCACTGTTGTAGCTGCTGAGGACTTCCTGTAATAAGGGAAAGGAGTTTGACTTTGAAAGGTCATTCCCGGGGATAGGAGCGGGCTGGCTCGCAGTGCCGAGTGGGCCTGACGAGGCGGGAGGTGCCGTGAGGAGCAGGCCTGGCCAGGAGCGTGGGTCGCACCATCATGGGCTCCAGGCTTCGGAACTGGGGCGGTATGTTCAAGCGTGTCTTTGCGTAGTCTACTTTCTAAAAAGTGAAAAAGCGGTAGCAGTGCTTAATTACCTTTACATCACAAAATCGGGGGAGAGTCTATGTTTTATCTGTTCCTTGCAGGGTTTCTTGAGGCCTTAAGTGGTGCCTCCTAACTTGTTTGTAGGGAGCCGGCCGCTCTGATTCTGCTCGTCTGTGTGTCTGTCAGAGGCAGGGCCTGGGACTAACTGAGGTCAGACGGGCACCCAGGAGCCCCCAGACTCAGGGCCTTTGCACAGGTGGCCTGGCCACGCTCGCGCCTGACTGTCCTGACCCCCGTCCTCGCTCCCAGCACACATGGGTCTCTCAGGGTCTGTCACCGGCCGTCTCTCCTTCTGCTCTATGACATCATCTTTCTGTGCTTCCTTTCCTACAGGAAGTTGGAAGCATCATCGGGAAGGTAACTACTGAGTGAACTCTGCTCTGCTGGGGTCCCTGACCAGGTGACACGGTGCACACCACGCACAAGGATTCCAGTGGAATCCCGCGGCCCCGCCTGCAAGGCCCCGGCTGGTCACCGGGCAGCCCCGCCCCCACTGCCCCACCGCCCTGTGGCCCGTCCTTCCCGGGGGTGAGGGCCCGGTGAGCGTGAGTCACTGGCATTCTCCAGCGCAGTATCCCCCCTGGTCAGTGGGTGGTGGTGGTCTCTCACGTCTCCCTCCAAATTAAAAGCGCGCCGTGGGGAAAGTGAGCGCGGATCTGGGAGTTGGAAGCCTGTGGCGGAGGCTGGGGCAGGGCGCCACCTACCCGTGGCTGGCGTCCCACCGTGTCCAGGCCCCCTGGTGTCCAGCGGGCGCCTCTGTGCTCCAAGTCCAGGTCTTCCCACCAGGGCCCTGGGGTGTGCCCCCCCCGCCCCGGCCTGGCCCTGCTTTGCCCGTGACAAATATGAGCACCACTGCAGAGCAGGAGCCGAGTGGGCCAGCACCCGGCGCCTCCTCTGAAGGGCCCCTCGCCAGCTTGTGGTGGGGCTCGGGGCTGGGGGTGCGTCAGGCTCTCGTCCCCGCCACCCCCGCCCCCCGCCCCGGGACTGCTGCTCGCTGGCCTGGGGCACCTGGTGCACGAGGCTGTGCTCCCACCTCGTGCTGCCACACCAAACCCTCTGCACGCCTGTGCCGGAAGCCCGGAGTGGCGCCTCACCCTGTTGTCTGAATCTTTATTCCAGAAAGGAGAAACTGTGAAAAAGATGCGTGAAGAGGTGAGGTGGCTGGTCCTCAGTGGTGTCCCGTTTGTGGGCAGGCGGGAGGTGGGAGGCCAGAAGTCCTGTCCTGCGGGAGCCCCTGCCGTGCCCACGGCCACCTCCCAGCAGCAGCAGGCCCCTTCCCTCTGACCTGCACACCCCCACGTCCGGGGCTCTGTTGTGGGGGGCTGTGGGGGGCACAGCGTGGCAGCTGTCGGCACTGTGAAGGACGGCACTGGGGGGGCCTCACCGTGCAGCGTGGAGGCTTGCCCGTGGCTGTCAGGAGGCCTGAAGAACCCAGCCCGGTACTGCCCGCGACTCTAACCCTGGCCCGGGTGTGCTCGCCTCCTTCCAGAGCGGTGCCAGGATCAACATCTCTGAGGGAAACTGCCCGGAAAGAATCGTGACCATCACGGGCCCCACGGACGCCATCTTCAAGGCCTTTGCCATGATCGCCTACAAGTTCGAGGAGGTAAGATGCGCCCCCAGAGACCCTGTGTGCGGGGGGAGGGCATGGTCTCCACTGGTCCTCCGGCCCCACGTCCCCTGTGTCTGGACGTGGGCACAGCCTGGCCCACCAGGGATGTCCTGCTTGGCTGCAAGGACTTCTCTTCTCCCCTGTCACCTCCGCCGCCCAGGGGCTCCCCCGGCTGCTGGCCATCTGGGGACAGGCCCGAGCATGAGCTCCAGCCGCCCCCCACGGCTCCTGCCCCCACATGGGAGCTTGGCTACAGGCTGGACCTGGGGGCTCTGCTGCCGGCCCATAGAAACACGCACGCACTCACATGTCTGGGGCACGTCTGTGCGCTCTGTCAGCGACTCACATCGAGGTTTTCTTGCGTTTCCAATATTGTTCAAGTTGCCAAAAGTTGTTTAGAGCACATTCAGAGCGCTCGCGTTCCCACGCTTGTCCTCCCCCCGCCTCCACTGGCCATGGGCCTCGGGGGCAGGGACCCTGGCCCGCCAGTCCTTGAGCACATGCAGCTGCTTTCTCACGAGCCTGGCCTTTGCGCTCACTGGCGTGGGCACAGCAGGCGCACCCGTGCCTTTCTCCTCCCCAGGACATCATTAACTCTATGAGCAACAGTCCTGCCACCAGCAAGCCCCCCGTGACGCTGAGGCTGGTGGTCCCCGCCAGCCAGTGTGGGTCCCTGATCGGCAAAGGCGGCTCGAAGATCAAGGAGATCAGGGAGGTAGGAACCTTCTCTGGCTGCCGGCGCCCCTCCGCTGGGTGGGTGAGGCCCCCCCCGGGAAGCTCACCCTGCCCCCGGGGAGGCCCAGCACTGCGAACCGTGCCAGTGTGGAACTTACAGTAGGGGAGAGCCATCCAGAAAGCAAAGGGTGGGCTCTGGGAGCCCCTGGAGTGTGCACAGACCACTCACAGTGTCATGCAGAGGGGCTGGGCCCCTGCACGGGGAGCTGTGCAGCCCAACCAGGGACAGGCAGCGCGCCCCCATGATGGGGCGGGGGGCCACACCCTGCCACCCAGGCATGTGGCTCTGGGCCATGGAGGCTGTGCCCTCTGCCCCCAGGCAGGTGCCTCCAGGGCCCACCAGGCCTGAGCAGACCAGCAGGGCTGGTGAGGCGCAGACTTATGTTCATGTTCCTTTATTCAAAGAAAGGACTCCTTCCCTCTCCCAGAAGAGAGGCCCCCCTGTCGTGATTCCGTCACGGCAAGACAGCCACAGAGCTTGGGCCCCTCTAGAATCCATCTTCCTCTGTGACCTACAGCTCCACAGGGGAGATAAAGTATTTGAAAAAAGTGACTCCATTTCTGTCTCCATCTCTGCAAATGCCACTTGCAGGTTAAGACGCCTCTTCTCCAGCGTCACTGTCCCTGCGCCAGGCCGTGCTGGGCAGCGGTGGGTTGAGGCGCGCAGCCCCCCCATGGGGCCCCAGGGAACAAGCAGAGGGCTGAGGGGCCGGGCGGGCGTGGTGCCCTTGGGGTGGGTGTCCATGCACTGTGCCCTCGACGTGATGCCCTCCCCAGCACCCAGGAGCTCTGCTTCAGCGCAGGCCGCCGCCACCACCAGCCCCTCCCCTGCCGTTCCCCTTCCAATGTCTTGTTTCTGCAGTCCACAGGTGCCCAGGTCCAGGTGGCCGGGGACATGCTGCCCAACTCCACAGAGCGGGCAGTGACCATCTCGGGGACCCCTGACGCCATCATCCAGTGCGTCAAGCAGATCTGTGTGGTCATGCTGGAGGTACAGTCTGGGCACCCAGGGCTCACTGCCAGCCTACCCCTCACGCCACACTGCCCATGGCTTCTTCAGCCTTGGCTTCTTCGTGTTGGCTGTGGCATGTGCCTGGGGCCCTGAGAATTCACACGGTCAGGGCCGTGTGGGGGCCAGGGGTCAAGAGCGTGACCCGAGACCGCACCCAGGCCGCGCCGGGTGTGCGGGTAGCTAGTCCTCTCGGGCATGTCCATCGTCTCGGCTGGGGGGCCGGGGAAAGGGTGTGTCAGGAGGCAATCGGATGAGCAGTCATTAGTCTGCAGTGGGAGGGGCGTCCGGTAAAGGGTCGGGCCTTAGCCTCGGTGCAGGTCTGTGCTGGACACGCTGCCCACTGTGGGCAGGCCCTGCTGCCCTGGGCCTGTGAGGGGAGGGGAGGCAGGAGGCCCACGCTCACCACGCCCGCAGGCGTCAGAGCCCCACCAAGGCACAAAGGAGGAAAAGCACACGAAAATGCCCAAACTGTAAAGACAGAGAGGAATAAACAAAATGGTTAAAACCAAAGCAGAAGCGAAGATACAGCTGAGCAAGACAAAAGCCTCTCTTGAAATTTTTTTGAGAAAAAACCCTGAGATTTAAATTTCAGCGAATAGCCCAAATGCAGCAGGATTCACTGAAGCTCCCACAGTTGCTGGTCTTCAAGCTACAGTGAAGTACTTCGGCCTCTGACGAAGGCTCCTGTGCCTCGGCCGGTGTCTGTGGGCTCCGCCCTCTTTTGTCCTTTGTTTGGTGCTCAAACCCACGTCCAGCTCTTTAAAAAAATTGCATAGATTTATTTTCCCAAGTATACTATTTTGTGAAATCAAAACTATGTTTCTAAATACTGGTGTCCTGATGGTCCCCAGCCACTGGTCATGGAGACGGTGCCGGTCTGTGTTCCTTCGGGCCCCTGCCGCTGGGAGCCCGGTGGCGCCATGTGGGCACGTGGTGAGCAGGGCCGTGCACTCCCTTGCACTGGCGGATGCCCGAGGCGGCGAGAAAGCACACGCATCTTGAGCAGCAGCGGCCACGTCAGAGTGCGAGGTCGCATGAACAGTTCCAGGAGGGACACAGCCTCCCATGTCCACGAACAAGAGTTAGAATAAGACTGTCGGTCTCCTCAGGACTCCTCCCAAGCGGCGTTGCCGGCGCCACGTGCATGGTCAGATGTGGCCCATAGAAACAGGCTGGACCCCACTGGCTGTGGGTGCTGGTGCCCCAGGGCTGTGTTCCCGCCGGCTGGAGGCTCACGCGAGACTCAACTGTGAAGCAAGCACGCGTGGCGAATGGGAACGGCAGACCCAGGGCCAAGGCGATGCTTCACTCTTGCTCGGGCCATGGAGCTCTCAGAGGTCGGAGAGCTGGGGTCTCCCCAGGGGACGAGGAGCCACTGCACCTAGAAATGGTTGGGCCCATTTTCAAGTGAAGAATAGCTGGACAAATAGAGCAAAAGATTAAAGGACTTCCAGACTTAGTTCTGGCCAAGGTCATACCCTTGAAATGGCTCTGCGAGGGCTGCCCTCAGGTGGGGGCAGGTCAGTGGGGCCCCGTGGAGAGCACAGGTCTCACGGCAAAGCCTGCCCGGCAGTGCCCACTGTGCCCCAGCGGGCACCGGGGGCGCCGTGCTCACAGGGCCTCTCCTGTCAGAGGACATCAGCGAGCGCGAGAATCACAAGCTCATGGTGCTGGGATGGAGGGCGCTGCAGTCCGTGGGGCCAGAGGGCACGGAGCGAGGTGCCCGGCTCAGGGACGGGGCATACCTGGACTGAGTTCCCTGCTGGTGCAGTGAGAACCTCACTCCCCCAAGCTCGGTTTAGTCATGGGTCTGCCACCATGAACCGAGTGTCCTCTGAGGCCGCAGTGACCCCTGGCTGCACAGAGATGATTCTGGAGGCATCTGGTCGTAAATAGCAGGAGCACTGAAGACCGGCCTACCCTGGGGGCCCAGCATCACCCCAGACGGGGTCAGCTCTCAGGCCCCTCAGCAGCCCTTCCTGCTTTACAGCGAGGCTGCACGGTGTTCCCAAGGTCATACAGCTCGGCCAAGGCCACACAACACACCTAAAGGCAGGCAGCATGTCCAGGTCATGTAGTAGAGTCAGGGTCACACAGTGTGCCCATGATCACACAGCATGGCTTGGACTGCAGATTGAAGTTGCCACCCGGTGTGCTGAGCCTGCCCCACATTGCTTTGTGTCTCTCGGGGGGCACTATGAGGTCACACCCAACAGCCCAGGGTGTGGGCTGGGCCCGAGGGCACCACGGTCTCGAGACCTCCCAGCAGGGACAGGCTGTCCTGGCCCCCACCCTCTGCCTCTGGCTGGTGGTGTTGCTGACCCAGGCCAGCCCTGTGGCTTCTGTTCCCAGGGAAGACTGCCACGTGGCCGGACTAGGGAGGACCCTGATTGCCTCTGACCAAGGAGTTCGGTCGACTCAATCAGAATCGGGCCGACTTCTGGTACTTGAGAATATCATTCACCCCAAGATAAAAATCCTATACTTTTGGGCACAGAATAAGCAAAGGAAATTATAGCAAAGCTCATCACGACTATAGAATACTGAATTTGGACTCTAAGCTTTTTTAAAAAGTTGCTTCTTTTTATGAATAGTGAAATCGGATGTTTCTAGCTGTCCTGTGATGATGCCTACTGAGCATCACAAGCCTGGCCCTGCAAAGCCTTTGGGGCACTGGGCATGAGCCCCCATGGCCAAGCCGCCCATAAAGCCTGGCTTTCCCCTGAGCATGGGAGAGAGGGAGGGAGATTTTCTCAGAGGACAGCAGCCAGGCTGACCCAAGTGTGGAACGACAGCACCCTGGTCCGCAGGCAGCCACCTGTCCATCTGCGCACGGGCAGGGTCTCGGCCTCCGTTCTTGCTCGTCAGGAACTGACGGTGCACACTGCCACGGAGCCCCCGCCCCCCGCCCCGCATTCCGCGGGGGTGGCGGCGCCAGGTGGGAGCGTATTTAGGGCAGTGGCTACCCGGAGGAGAGAGGTGGCCCTGTGGAGGGTCCCTCTCAGGCTACCCTCCTGCTGCAGGGTGTCCCCACCCTCTGGGGCCGCTGCAGCCTGGGGGACAGGGCAGGGCGGGTGGTGCAGCGGGGGCGGGCTTGGGAAGGAGGCCCCCGTCAGCAGGTCCTGGTGCTGGGAAGCCGCTCTAATGCTCTCTCTCCCTCTCCTGTCCCTTTTCCTAGTCCCCACCGAAAGGTGCCACCATCCCCTACCGCCCAAAGCCCGCCTCCACCCCTGTCATTTTTGCAGGTGGTCAGGTAAGAGCCGACCCGCTCGCGGCCTCCACTGCCAACCTCAGCCTCTTACTGCAGCCCCCGCCGCTGCCCGTTAGTGCACTCAGGTTTTCTCCCCTGTCACGTGCACGTCTCCCACCCCACCCACGCTGGACGCAAAGCTCTCCCAGCCCGCTGCCGGGCACAGGGTCGGGCACACAGACAGGGCCATGGCAGACGTCCCGTAGACACTGGGCCCTGGAAGCGTCTTCTCCCTGACCTGGCACAGAAGGACCCTGGTTCTGCCTGTGCGACGTTCAACCCAATCTAGCTCCTGAGTGTCCTGAAGAAGCCTTGGCAGAAGGGCCAGGAGCGTTACCGGTGACCCTGTGGCTCCCAGTCGAAGCAGCTGGAGCTGCAGGAACAGGTCCCGCTTCCCCTGAAATGCACGTTCCTGACTTTCCACAGAGGAGTTTCTGGGAGCAAGGGAAGGGAAAGGTGCCCAGCCAGGCAAGAGCCTTGCCGGCCACAGCAGTGGCCCTCGCGCTCCACCAGACCCGCATCAGCCAGGTCAGGAACACCTGCTCTGCACACCTGTGGCTATGGCCCAGAGCCACCGACCTCCTTTCTCCCCTGCCGGCGAGGAGCCTGGGAGGCCAGGGCTTGCAGAGAAATCTGCGTCTGAGGCCGGCAGTTCATTAGCAGGGCCTAGAGAGAGCCCAGGAGAGGGGGTGTAGCCACTGCCCCACAAGGGCCCACCTGCCGCCATCAGGCACCTGGGCCACACCCCTCAGGGGCACCACGCGTGGGTAGAGGCCCTGGAAGATGCCCGGCCAGTGGTGCCTGGAGGAGCTCTGCGTCCAGTTGGCGGTGACGTGTGTCCTTGTTCGAGGGAGAGTGAAGACGGGCAATTCCCAGAGGTGACCCAGGTCAGGCGAGAGTGATCATGATTTTATCATTAACAAAGCAGCAAATAAAGATTTATCCACACGTTAAAGGAATCTTATCAGATCCTGCAGGTTGACTTCACACGTTAGGTGAGAGGCTGGGGCCTGCATTTCCAAGAGCAGCTTGTGGGCCTCTTCCCACAGGGAGGGACCCCCATGGGGCCTGCGTGGTTCAGGGCAGGCCACTGTCCACGGTGCCCGGCTTCCTCGGGCATCCGCTGTGGGCCTCCCTCCCAGTCTCCCAGCAGCCCTGCCCGCTGTCTGGACCCTTCATGTCCCTGCTCCCTCCTGTTGCAGCCCCAAGATGTGGGCACACCCCCATTTTACAGGTCAGAAGGCAAGGCCAGAGGAGGCAGGGGAGCAGACACAGCGGGGCCCCGTGCAGAGCACTGTGTCCTTTCCCCTGACACGTGGACAAACCCGCAGTGGCACCATGTGGGAGAGCGCAGGTCTTTATTGAAAAGGGAGGCCCCGCGGGCCCCGCCCAGCACGGCCCCGGCCATCAGGGCCATCATCTGCACCTGTGTGCCGGGACAGCGAGGTCTCGCCAGTGGCTCTCCCTGGTTGCGTGGGGACAGAAGAACCACAGCACACGCTGAGCAGTGGGGTGTGAGTGGGATTTAGTGCAGAAGGCGGCCCTCAGAACCCGACCCCACTGCCACAGAACCTAGACCTGAGAGACCTGCGCCCCTCTCCCTGGCTGACCTCCGGAGGCATCCCTCGCCCTGGGGGCCCGCCCGGGAGCACCAGCCCTGCCTTTCAGGCAGCTCACAGAGGGTGAGGGTTTCATCCAGACGGAACCTTTGTCTGTCAAGCTATTGCCGCCATCCAGAGAGCCTGGTAAACTGCCCACACACTTCAAGTAGGATTAAGAATTACCTACGTGAGTAAAAGATAAGTCAGAAACGTCTGGGGTGAAGAATTGCACCGTCAGGAAGTGTGAGCAATTCACTCGGACGTGCGGGGCCGTGAGGGCAACAGGCCCCGACCTTCACAGACCTGCCTGGTGGCATCTCCACAAGGCCTAAAGACGAGGCCTCGCAGCTCTGTGTACAGAAGTACGGGGTGGGGGGCGCCCACTCGGACACTTGCTGCATCTGATAAGATCCCTTTACTTCTCCACGGAACGCCATCGGCGGACCCTGACCTAGACTGGGGCCTTCGCCTCCTGGGGTCCCTGTCCAGTGCCTGGCTGACCTGTAACTCCCAGGTTGGGTTGTTTATGACAACAGCTCTCAGCAGATTCAAAAGATGCGGTTTGGCAGAACCTTGGACACCACCCCTCAGTGTGGAGTCTACGAAGTGACGCTCAGACTGACCTGGGGTTTCCCTCTTGGGTGCACATGTGCAGACACAGGTGGGCATCACGTGTCCACTCAGGATGTGGCACGGGGACCCACATGGCCAGGTGCCAGAAGCCACGTTCCTCCACACCTGTGCCCCCAAGCTGGGGCCTCAAATGTGGCTTTCCGGGGCTGCACGCGGCACGTTCCGCATCACAGCACGTGAGGCCTGACGGCAAGACTTTGGTCTTTACTCTCCCTTGACACCTTGTGGTTCGTTTGGTTTTGGCCGTGAGTTTCTGGGAGCATCGGAGCCGGTGGACTGTTGAGGCAGGAGGGGGCTGGTGGGGGGAGGAGGCACGGGGCCCCCACTCGAGCTGTGGCTGGTTCTGAGTCGCTGGCTTGAAGGTGAAGCCTCGGGGACCCTCGCTGGCCCCCGGGGAGCAGTGCCGTGCACGTGCAGCCCCCCGTGAGAATAGCTGCCCGGCCCTCTGAGGCTGCAAGACAAGTCGGTCCCTCTTGTGACTGATTTGGGTGCATTTCTTCATCTGCTTTCACAAAATTGGTCTTGAGTCACCTTTTAAAGGTCCTTTGTTGGGTTTTGGGATAAATACTCTGTAAAAGTGTTTACTCTGAAAGCTGATGAAATTTCAAAAGGTTAACAATTAGTGAGTCTATAACCGGGTGGGATCCTTTGCAGGGCTTTTCTTTTAAGAGCCCCGGGGGAGCGGGGAGCCTCCTCGCCCTCCCTGCTGGCCGGCCAGTGTCCGAGCCTGCAGCTGTGGGTCCTGAGCCCAGCGAGGGGGCTGTAGCCCCCCTGGCTTATGCGTCTGGTTGTAGCTCCAGACACCCGTGGGCACTGGTGAGGCCTGGAGCCAGGACGCCCCCAGTCTGCACCTCCCGGTGCCCTGAGCTACTGGGGGCAGGTGGGGACGCGCTCGGGAGGAAGCTCTGACCACAGGGCCTTGGGCCTGTTCACGAGAAGCCCCTGCCCTGAGAAAGCCCTTGTCCCGGGGGGGGGGGCCGCCGGTGGGCACAAGTGTGGCTGGCCGCTTCCCGAGCTGACGGCGTCTCTCTCTTTCTAGGCCTACACGATCCAGGGACAGTACGCCATCCCCCACCCAGATGTGAGTCTCCACTCTGCCTCCCTGGCCTTCTCTTCTCATCACCGTTACCCCCTGCATGCCTCTGTTACTTGCTACTAATATTAATATTACACAATAATATTAATACCGTTCTCTCAATGTTCCCGACCTGTGTCGTATCCATATGACCTTGAATAACCTTTAACCTCTTAGCACTAATTCTGCTCCTTGGAGGACTTGGCCTGATGTCAAATTGCTTCCATTGTTGCTGCACTCTGGGGCTTTCCTCCGCACACAGGGCCTTCGGCGGTGGCCACAAGGCTGCTTTGCCCATGGCACCCGCCCCAGCGGGCAGGGACCGCGGGGTGCCCTACGCCCACCTGAGAAGTCAGGCGACGCGCTATCAGACAGGTGCTCTAAGAGATGCTGGAGAGGATGTTTGGACGTCCGGTAAAGCTACACTTTCCAGAGCCACACGACACCTTCAGCACCCCCACGCCCCCCACCCCGAGAACAAAAGCCAGCAGAAGGGGCCTTGGTTTTCACTGTAGCCTTGAAGCCGTGCTCCGCCGTGGGGCCTGCTCAGCCGTCCCTGAGTGCGTCACGGTCTGAGGATGGTATCAGAGTTGAGGATGGGGACGCCCGAAAATGCACTGTGCGGGGGCCCAGGGACCGAGGGGACAATGTGCAGCGGCTACGGGGCAGCAGCTGTGATCCAAGGTCGTCCCTCCACAGGGATCTAGACGCGCGCCGGGCACGGGGCCAGGAGGCCTGCAGGAGCTGGTCTCGAAGGGAGGGAAGGGGGAGGGAAGGGGGACCAGGCCAGGGCAAGAAGGCCGAGCTGGGGATCAGCAGCTGCAGCAAACCCAGAGTTCATTTTGAGAAGCCTTTTTCTTCTCTAAATCGTTGTGAAGATCGCCGAGCTTCGCAGCCTCTCCCGAGAAAGCATTTCCGGCCTGTGTTCTCTGTGATCTGAGACTCGTATCTGGGAGGTGCCGCCAGGCTGACAGGGCTCGCCTCTTCTGCAAACCCCTGCTCGCTTGAACTGGGTGGGTGCGGACGTGGGCAGTGAGACATACGGGCAGAGCGGGCAAGGGCTTTTTAAAATGAAGCGAGGCTAAATAAGAGTGTGGGGGGTGTGGGGATTCAGTTCACTGCCACGGCAGGGAACTCTCCTCAGAGCAGAGAAGAGATACTGGCAAGGTTTCCTTTTCTTGAAAAAATTCCCAAGGGCAGTCTGTGGAGCAGGAGGCTCTCCCCGCCCCAGGCACAGCCCCGAAGCCGTTTTCCGTGGTTCCTGGGTTTAGGTGGTGACTGCCTTTAGCACTAAGTCACCTGTCCCCTTATCTGCCCGTGGCCACCCCCACTCATGAAGCTGTCCTTCTCCTCCTGCCCAGGACATGCTGCGAGGGCTCTGGCTCCTTGCTGGATAGAAGCCGGGCGGGGACACAGCTGTCTGCATTTAGCTGGTTGGTGGGGTGACACCAGTCCGTCCACCTGCTCACTCCCGTCCCCCGCCTGCCCACCCGAGCGCATAGCCACCTCAACCTCCCCCTTGAGGACACGTGTCGAAGCCTGGCCTCTGCTGCTGACCCCCACATACCGTTCCGTGCTATCAGGGATGCTCTTCATTCTGCTGTGAGTTTCTTAGAGATCCCAGGAGTGGGGAAGGTGGCGAAGGTGTGAACCCACTCAGCCTTCTCAAAAGAGCCATCAGCAGCTTTAAAAAATTGTTAAAATTCTTCCACCATAAGGAGGTTGACAGCATTGCCCAAGAAGATGAGGGAGCAGTGGAGGTCGGTCTGCAAGACCCCCCACAGCAGGCAGGGGCAGACCCCTTGGCTCCAGGTGGGTGACGCCCCATCCCTCATCATCTGGGCAACCGCCAGCTGTGACCGAGGGGATGCAGGTGTTAGAGCCTGGGAGAAGGGGTGGCCTGCCCCCAGTGCAGGAATGCCGTGCAGAGTGTAAGCGCTCAAGGGGTGGGTCGCACACTGCGATGGTAGGCTCTACGGCCCCTCACAGACAGACGGCCCTGAGTGGGGGTGATGGGCAAGCAGAACAGAAGCCAAGTGGGTCACAGGCCTAATTCCTGGGACGGCACAGTCTTCATTTAACGTGGGGCCAGACAGTCTTGTGTCACCAGAAGTGCAAGGGCTGATTGGAAAACCTGGCTCGTTGGCTTTTTGAAAGCTCAGGAACTCAGGAACACAGGGGTCTGGCCCCTAGTAAAGGGCAGTTGGCCCCAGAGAACAGCTCTGGTTTTGAGGCGGGAGCCACAGACCCACCGACAAAGGCCTGAGGTTTCCTGCAACCTCTGAGCTGACGGAGAAGTGTTTCTGGCCTGAAGTTCCCGGGGTTGTGGGCGTGCACGCTTCAGTCTGGCTGACTGGTTTTTCTATTAATTGGTGGTTGCGTCTTTCCAAGTGGTTTTCTCAGAATCTCTTCAAAGTGGGTCGTTTCGCAGGTTTTTTTCTCAGACTGGTTAAACTGACTTATAACCAAGTGTTGCATAATTGCCTCATTACATTTGGGAGAGACCTGAGGTACTCGGTTCTCCTCAGGAAACGGCTGTCTGTGCGGGACCCTCCGCTGTGCAGACTGGCCCCGGGGCCGGGCAGCTGCTGGGACTCGGTAGCGGGCAGTCTGAGAAGTGCGCGGCTTGCAGGCTCGTGATGTCGAAGGCGGGACAACCATGCCGATACTCCATCCAGAATAAGATGAAACAGCGTGGGGTGACATCGGTGATTATGGCCAGGAGGGCAGCTCTTCTCTGAGCTTCGTGTTCAGTGGGGGCCTGAAGGGCTTTGTGTCTTAGAGCTCAGATGCAATAATGGTGGGAAGCGCTACTTTATTTTGTAACGTAACTGAATGCGGTTTGAACACTTGAGCCACGGTGGCTGACGCACAGCACAGGATCTTCCAGCCGCCGGTGACCCGAATCACAGACTGAGAAAACGTGTTCCTTGGAGCTGAGTGTTACTTTATCTAGATCTAGACTGTACGTGTTTTTTCTGTGCCCGGTGTTGGTGAGCATTCTGGTTCACCCTCCCTGGAGACTCACCAGTTTCCCTGCAGGGTTGCGCTGCCACTCAGTTGTCTTGCCCGAATCCTCCTGGACTTGCCCAGGACAGGCACCAGGACACCGGGTGTGGGGAGGATGGCCCCAGCCATGGCCTGACCGCCGCAGCCCTTGGGCGGCTGCCCCTGACTTCCACGCAGCCTGCTCAGGTCCGCGTGACTTCAGGCGTGGCAGGGGAGGCAGCAGGGACTCGGACGTGGGAACCGCCCTGTCCTCCTGCCCACCCAGTACCTGTGTCTCTTCACTTACTTGATGTGATCACATGGGAGGGGTGAGTCAGCTTCGAGCCGACCCCCACATGCGATTCTTCTTTGCGGCTCTCCAGAGCATTCGTCACTCCCTCCGTAACACGCCCTCATTTGAGGGGCACTGGAAGCAAGCAGAAACCGAGCCGTGTGTTAGAGGTGACAACAGAGGGTTTGCCACCTCCGCCCCTTCGCCTGCGCCTGGCACTGACTGCGGGCAGCAGTCAGGACGGCCACCCGGTTTTACACAAGGAGGTGCTCGCCGCAAAAGCTCACTGCCCAAGCTAAAGAGCCACTGGCTTCCAGCATGTTCTGGAGTTCCAGGAAGCGTGTCCTTCGGAGTGAGTAGCGGGAGACGGTAACACGGGAGTCGGAACAGAAGTAAAAGAGGGAAGATGCACGTTAGGTCCTGCGTGGAAGATGTTTCCCAGCTGTCCACTCACGTGTCACTGTGAGTGCAGGAACTCCCCTGATGACCACCAGTCACCTCCTCTAGATCCCCGTGGGGATGGTGCAGAGGCCGCTCCTGACACCTCGAAGTGGAAACGGTGAAGAGAGCAGCCAGCACTCTCAGGCCACCCGGCTGCTGGGCCTCACCCTGGCCCTGCTCTTTCCTCAGGATCCTGCAGCTCGGAGTGGTGGGGAGGTACCCACACACCGGACCCCGACCTCCCGGGGTGGGAAAAGCAGGAGGCCAGCTTGCCTTAGATCTTCCCTGTCTCCCTGCCCCCACCCCAGGTGAACTGTCACTCTCCTGCTGAGCCATCGGGTGCCTGGCTTCCTCCTCCCAGCCTGCCCCTCTTAGGGGCAGAATCTGCATTTTCATCCCATCGAAGTCCCAAGAAGAGGTCATCACACAGAGTGAGGGAAGATTCTATGAGGTAGGCACTGAGAATTTCTCAGAATTAATAAAAGAAGCCAATCTTCACATTCAGGAATCCCAACAAATCCCAAACAAGATAAATAAAAAGAAATCCACTTTATACATATCAAAGTAAAACCACGTAACATCAAGGCCAAAAGTAAATCTCCAAAGTAGTCAGAAAAGGAATGTTACAAAGGAGCATGAGAGAAGGTGCAGGGACGTCTCACCAGCCGCCCTGGAAGCCAGAAGGTGATGTCATGATGAAATAATTGTCAAGCCAGGCTTCTGTCTTAAGAGCATCTTCCAAGGACCTAAATCCAAGCATTTTCAGACAAACAGCTGTGACCAACAGTCTTCGCCCTTCAGGAGGACAGTGACTGTGAAGGGAAGACTAGAGATGCAGGACAGAGGGGCTTGTTTCATTCACATAAGAACAGGCCGAGGAAATATTGATGGTTGTGACTCCATTAAAATGTAAACATTTAGGTAAATGAAAGCAACAGTTGTAAAGTCAACATCAAGGCTGTCTAATTTGTGGGATTGACAGAACAGAACAAATGGACAAAAATAGCAGACGTATGCTTCAGATGGATCCAGGGGAATTCGAGCTTCCTATCGGTCACTGTGTTGTCCCAGAAGAGGCAAAGCTACGGAATTTAGACTTTAAACATATGTGTTAAAATGTCAAAGTGACCGCTGACAGAAAAGACTTTACTTAAGTGACCTCCCCCCAGATGCAGAGGGAAGAGGGGTGGGGGAAATTAATCCATACAAAAGAAGAAAAAGAGTGAAAACACGAAAGAAGCTTTAGAAAGTCAGGACAGTTACAGGTGCAAAATAAAATAAAATG